TCGTGTGAGACACCGCTCCACACTATCAAACTATTAGCCTAAGAACGTACCTAATTATTAGCATATACCTAATAACGCTGCTATTAAGCTAATAATTAGCATTTTTTCACGAAACTGATTGTGTAAATAAGCTAATTATTAGCTTAATAGCAGCGTTATTACGTATATGCTAATAATTAGGTACGTCATTAGGCTAATAGTTTGATAGAGCATGCGAGTTCCCCCCTGCCCCTGCAGCCCCACCCCACTAAGGACTAACGGCAAACCCGCACGAGAAACTAATTTTTCATAAAAACTGGCGCCGACCCGCTAGGAGGGTCGGCATGGGGTGCGGTGGGCAGGACCTGCGCCACTTGGGCAGTGGATTTGATCTCGGGGCGATTTTTAAGCGCAAACCCTCCCTTGCCGTGCCACCCTTTCGTGGGCGCGCGCGCCGGGGCGCCGTGTGCTCGCCCTTGATCGTATCAAGACGCCCCAGGGCAGTGGGGTCGTCTCCAAGGGACGGTCCGTGACTTTCACGGACGCTCCGTTCAACAAGGCCGTCAACCTCGAGGGGGGCGTCGAAATCGGCGGCGTCGACTACAGCGAGGACATCCTCGTCAGCGGCTCGTGGACGGGCAAGAACCTCGCGCTGCTGACCCCGACCTCGACATGCGACGACACCCGCCCAAAGGGCACCAGGACGAGTTTGACGTGACCGTCTTCAAGGTGGTGGAGAACCAGGCGTGCGGCGAGGCGTGCGTCCGCTACAGCGGCGAGGTCTCGGACAACTTTATGGGGCGCGTCGGCCGAACGCGTCGGCACGCGGCGCAAGCTTCGGCGCCGCCTGTCGCCGCTCCCTCTCCCCGTGCCGGCACCTGTGGCTCGGCGCACTCTCTTCGCGCCGCAGCCGGAGCCAGTCATCCCGGAGCCGGACGTCATGAAGAAGTGGCTGATCGCCGCGGCGGGCATGTGTTCGTCGCTCTCCGTCACGCCGCTCGCCGAACGCGCCGGCGCCTACTCGATCGGCAACATCTCCTTCGACGTCCACCCGGACACCTCGATCGCCTTCACGAAAGCGCCTCACCACGACGGCGTCCATCTCGACGATGGCGTCGAGATTCGCATCGGGGTCATCGACGTGCTCTCGTCGTCCGTCTGGGAGCTCAAGAACGTCGCGCTTCTCCGCCCAGTCTCGTCGTGCGACGACCCGCCCGAGGGCCAGCAGGACCAGTACCGCGTGTCGGTCTTCAAGGTGAATGGGAACGAGCCGTGCGCGGACGAGCCAGAGAAGTGCGTGCGCTACCAAGGCAAAGTCGAGGCGCGCTCTTCAGACTTCATCGACCCGGACGAGCAGATTACGATGGAAGGGCGCTTCCCCTGCCAGCTCTATGTTGATGCGGCGGAGGCCTCATGCAAAGGCATCGGCGATAGTTGCGGCGGCTTTTGGCTAGTTGCCCATGACGATGAGTGCTGCTCTGGATCCTGCAGCCCCCAGAGTGGTACCAACCACCGGATTCTTTCAGCGTTGTGTGGCGGAGGGTTGGAGAAGGGGGAGGGAAGTCTGGGCGGTCGGCGAGGGGGTCGTAGTTGACTGGGCGTACGGGGTAGCCGCCACTTTCCTGCCTCAAAAGGGCGGGGCTGTCCCGGAAAGTGAGAAACGCCGGGCAGCGTGGTGCACGATTTCAACCGGAGAATTCGAGGGGGGAACGAAGAGGGGGGGATGGGCGGTCGGCGTCGGGGTAGCAGGCTGCAGGGCGTACGGGGTAGCCGCCACTTTCCTGCCTCAAAAGGGCGGGGCTGTCCCGGAAAGTGAGAAACGCCGGGCAGCGTGGCGCACAACTGAACCCTCCCATACGTGTTTGTACCTCCTCCTTTGCTGTCCCATCTCCTCATCTCTTTCCCGCCTGGGCGGGGCAGCTGGCGGGCGCGCGGTGCGGTGCGCACTGTGTGCTCTAAGTGGCTGAAAAAACAATCAATTGTTTTTTGAGCCCCTACGCCCTCGGGACGCGCACCGCGCTACTGCTCCCGGGCCAGGGGTGTAAGGGAACACACTAGGGCACACCAGGGCCGGTCTAGCCGGCCTTATCCCGCCCACAGCCTTCGAAAACGCACAAAAATCGCACCGCCGGAGCCGCGGCGAATCGCCGCCGGAGGCCGCGTGTCGCGCCACCGACGGCCGCACGTCGAACCCCCGGCTCCGCGCCGCTGCTCCACCGCGCCGGCCATCCAGCGCGCACCCCCCAAGCTGCTGGTGCCCTCTTAAAGGGCCACAAAGCCTCGAAAGGAGCCGTCGACCGTCACCTAACAGAGGGGTGTCGGCCCCGGGCTCGCCGCTCTTGCGAGCGGTCGGCGGCGTCTAGGGCGGAGCCAGCGGTAGTAGCGGTGGTGCCGGCGTGTGCCGTGACGGAGGGGGTGGCGGCGGGGCGCGGACGGCGGGGTGCGGCGGCCGAGGCTCGAGCGGGGGGGCGGCAGCGGTGGCACCATCGTCGGCGGAAGT